ATTTAGTCGATTCCCCTGTTTGGCTATTCTCGAAGCAGCGTATTTGGAACTGTCTGGGCAAAACCGGCATGTTTCGCCCTAAACTACTGATAAGCTTTCTCTCCTTGTCAATTGTAGGTCAAATTGACTGGCACGCCTTCAGGATTCTCAGGATCGACTAGTCCTGTGTTGAAACTAAGCAGATCTCCGTGCTTACTTCGCTCAGATCGTTTCGGCTTACAGCGTGTCAGGCGTATTCGCCATGTTTTTGTGCCGACAAACACAATGATGTTAAACAGTATCTACAATTCTACAATGTCATTGATTCAAAGGTGTTTGAAAAAATCAAAGATCTTGAGAGAGCTAGTGAGGTGTGGAAGAGATTGGAGAAAACATATGAGGGCACATCAGCGGTCAAGAGTGCAAAATTGTACATTCTCAAGGACAAGTTGACAAACTTCAAGATGAAGGATGATGAGAGCATTCTGGAGATATTTCATAGAATGCAAGTGATTGTCAACGATCTCAGGAGTTTGGGTGAGAAAGTACAAGATGATGATTTCTCTCATCGATTCTTAATGTGTCTACCTCTAAGATTTGAAACATTAAGATTAATCATCATAAGAGGAGGATTAAAGGACATAACCCCTAACCAAGTACTAGGTAATGTCATGACACAAGAGACATACCGTGTTGGAAGGGAGGGTTGACTAAGATGAGAAGAAGGATGATGACAACAAGAAGAATGTGACATTCAAGGCTAGCACATCATCCAAGAGCAAGGGCAAAGCTAAGAAAGAAGAATCAAGTGATGATGAAGCTAGTGACTTTGACATGGAATCCATGGCTCTATTTGTGAAGAATTTTGGCAAGTTCATGAAGAAGGGCTACAAGTCAAGATAGAGAAGGGATAATTTCAAGAACAAAGATCAAGTGAGAAGGTGCTTTAGATGCAAGAGCAAAGATCACATCTTGGCGGATTGTCCATACAATAGTGACAATAAAGAGGATGAGAAGAAGAAGGAAAAGAAGGAGAAAAAGATGTACTTCAAGAAGAAGAAGAAGGGTGGCTCTTATGTGGTGACTTAGGATAGTGATGCTTCTTCGGATAGTGATGAGTCTAGTGATGATGAGAAGACATCCAAGAAGAAGGCACTTGCAAGTATCACCATCAACAACAAGCCTTCTCTCTTCGACACACCATCATGCTTCATGGTTAAGTCCTCTAAGGTAAAATATGATTAAAGTGATGGTGATAATTATGAAAGTGATGATTGTAGGAGTAATGATAATGATGAGGAGTACTCCAAGGAGGTCCTCATGGACATGATGGAAAAAGCTCATGAGTGTCTTGAGCTAAAAAGGAAGGAGTGCAAAGACTTGCGCAAGAAATGCAAATCTCTTGAGCTAACCTTTGATGAGCTCAATGCTACTCATGAGAGGCTAATGGAAGCCCATGAGAAGCTTGGCAAAGCTCACTCTAAGCTTGAAAAGGCTCACTCCTCTCTCCTAGAGCAAGACAAGCATAAGGTTGTTGCATCATGTGACGTGGGCTTAACATGTGATATTATTGATGAATCTTTCTACAAGCCTATTGTTGTTGCTCCTACTAACCCTTCTTGTAGCACTACTACTTTTACCTCATCTAATAGTGATGGCTTCGCTTGTGATGCCTCACTAATGGTTGAGAATGAGACCCTCAAGAAGGAGGTCAATGAGCTCTCTCGCGCCTTAGGCAAAGCCTATGGTGGTGAGGACCGCTTGCTTATGTGCTTGGATAGACAAAGAGCATCTCTCTACAAAGAGGGATTGAGCTATACCCCCAAGAAAGGCAAGGTCGCCTTTGCTCCTTACAAGACTAGTTTTGTGAAGAATAATGGTGGGTATTGCTATAGTTGTAAGCAAGTTGGTCACAAAAAGCATGATTGCAAGAACAAGAAATCACATGCTAATGCATCCTCAATTAAGTTTGATTCTTGTCATTTGCTTACCAAGGGTGCAAATGGTGTGAAGGCTAAGTTTGCTGGTACATCCTTGTTGGGCCAAAGAAGAAGGCCATTTGGGTACAAAGAGCTTAGTGACTAACCTTCAAGGACCCAAGCAAGTTTGGATACCTAAAAGAAATTAATCTTCTTTTGTATGTCAATTATAAAGCCAAATGAAGGTATTGGGTGCTTGATAGTGGGTGCACACAATACATGATCGGTGATTCAAGAATGTTCAATTCAATTAACACCAATAATAGCAATGGTTATGATAGTATCATATTTGGTGACAATGCTAAAGGCAAGGTCAATGGGCTTGGTAAGATTGCAATATCCAATGACTTGAGCATTTTCAATGTGCTACTAATAGAGAGCTTGAACTTCAACCTATTGTCGGCAGCATAACTTTATGATCTTGGTTTCAAGTGCATATTTGGTGTGTATGATGTAGAGATCATAAGTATAGATGGCTCTAACTTGATATTCAAAGGATTTAGATATGAAAATCTATACTTGGTTGATTTCAATACTAGTGAAACTCAATTATCAACATGTTTGCTCACTAAGTCTAGCATGGGTTGGTTATGGTATAGAAGATTTGGTCATGTTGGAATGAAACAATTAAATAAATTGATTAAGCATGATCTAGTAAGGGGCTTGAAAGATGTCACATTTGAGAAGTATAAGCTATATAGTGCATGTCAAGCCGAAAAGTAAGTTGGCAACACACATCCTAAAAAGAGCATCATGAGCACATCTAGAGCATTTGAGTTGTTGCACATGGATTTGTTTGGGCCAACAACATATACTAGCATTGGTAGAAACAAATATGGATTTGTGATAGTGGATGATCTCACTAGATATACATGGGTCTTCTTTCTTGTTGATAAGAGTGATGTGTTTGATACATTCAAGACATTCATCAAAAGAATACACAATGAGTTTGAAACAACAATCAAGAAAGTAAGAAGTGATAATGGTAGTGAGTTCAAGAATACTAGAATTGATGGGCTGTGTGATGAATTTAGAATTAGACATCAATTCTTAGCCAAGTATACTCTACAATCAAATGGTCTTGTTGAGAGGAAGAATACAACTTTGATTGACATGGCAAGATCAATGTTGGGTGAATACAATGTTAGTCATTCATTTTGGGCCGAAGCAATCAACACGGCTTGCTATTATAGCAACTGCCTCTATTGTCATCCAATGTTGGAGAAGACACCTTATGAGCTCTTAAATGGTAGAAAGCCCAATATTGCATATTTTCAGGTTTTGGTTTGCAAATGCTACATATTGAAGAAAGGCACAAGATTGAACAAATTTGAGAATAAATATGATGAAGGTTTCTTGCTTGGTTACTCAACTACTAGCAAGGCTTATAGAGTTTATAATTTGGCTAGTGGTACTCTTGAGGAGGTGCATGGTGTTGAATTTGATGAAACCAATGGTTCCCAAGAGGAAGATAAGAATCTAGATGATGTGAGAGGCACTCAATTGGTCAATGCAATGAAGAAGATGGACATTGGTGATATAAGGCCTAGAGAGGTGATTGATGTTGAAGATGACAAGAATCAAATGCTCTCTAACTCAAATGTGCAAGCTAGTGGTTCTTATGATTAAAATCATGGGGTTGAAATTCTTTGTCACGCAGGGGCACTGATGCGTTTTTGGACAGGACTATATGCTGAAGTAGACAAGGAAATGCTCGTCAATGGGGTCAACACCATGCTAAGGGTGGCGGCAAGACTGATCCTTACCAAGAACAATACTGGCGGGAAGAAGCGCTTGGGATCTGGAGAAGATAATGAAGCGGCGAACTGAAGGCCGCTGGTGGTGACTTCTCTTTTTGGGGGCTCAGTCATCTTTAGCCTGGTAGTTGCTTTTGTCCTCACAAAGGTTGAAACTTGTAATAAGTCTCTCTGATGCGCTCTGCGTTCGGTGTTAAGATCATACCGTTCTTAGACTTTGTTCCTAGCTAGAGGTGTTAGAACTTTTACCCCCTTTCTCTTTCCCGTCTATATGTTCGGATGCTTGTATTTCCGTTTTTCTCTGAAATGGAAATGGAGGATGACCTTCGCGTGGAAAAAGGAAGTAAAGGATGTACCGTAGCATTGCGCAAATAACTTATACTATAAGCTACCCACACCTTCAATTTTTTCACTAAATTTACTTAGCTGATACCATCTTCTCATTTCACATTGTAATGGTACAGGCCGTCCACATTGGTCTCTGCTGTTCAGTTCAGAGTTTCAGACCCACGAAGCTTAAGGATAGTTCTCATTCTCCTACTGTAAGGTGGTACTTCCTTCTGGGTGATTAAATCCCCTGATGTTGCACTTGCCGTCATTATTCTTCAATCCAATCTTTTAGAAGGATCAATCTGATAGGCACAGATGTTGGATTTGCTATGTGTCTGTTACAGAATATGTGTACGAGTACATCATGCATTGTTGTTTGCTTGCCACATGAAAAGGCCTATTATTGTCTACCACTAGTATATCTATCATCTCTATATGATGATGTCCGTGTGTCCTTGAACAGATTCTCTGGTATTTACGCGGTATACACATGTACCCATCCATGAACATATCATCAAATGCTGAAAGTGACAATTTTGTTTTCAATGACTGAGTAGAAGTACCACTTTCCTCAGAGAGAAAAAAACAAGTGACATTTGGGCCTACTGTATGTAAATATCATACAACGGACATCCTGTGCTTCTCTACATGCGTCGCAGCCATCCGAATCGGATGGGGCAAATTATCTAGGCAGTAAAAAGTTTTGTAATTCAGCCTAGCTGTCCAAGCAAGAGTTTGTAAACTCAGGTAATTCAACTCTGAATACAAAGTTTTTTGTAGCATTATATATACATAATATGGGCATAAATCCCAGAAAGTTAACTCTTTTCAGTAAGTTTTGGTTCTTTAGGCATACTGTTTGGCAGATGAAACTAAGTCCTGAATACTGACATCTTATGCATATTTAGACATAAAAATTTCAGCTAGTAGGCTACACATATACAACCATTTAACATCATACATCCAGTGGCCTCAAAACTATGGGAAGACCGAACTTAGGCTGAAGCGTTATATGATCTGCAGGTGCATGCACATAACTTGAGGAAAGTGTGAAGGAGAATCTCTTCAGGATCATGGCCATTACTGATTTTGCCTCTAACATTGCGAAGTTCTGACCGATGCATGATCTTGGTCCTATTGAGAATGACAAAAGAGCTTGTGGAGTCTTTGCTGCATTTGTGATCCCATTCTTAAATCTTAATGGTTCAAAATCATTGGCATTGTCACCCCAAACCTCTTTGTCTCGGTGGAGAAATGGAATAGGTATGGCAATTCCATTGCCTTTAGGTATGCTGAGGCTTCCCAATCTTATGTCGGAGATAGGCTTTCTTAGCATGAGCATAACAGGACCATAGAGTCTCAGTGTCTCAAGGAGCACCATCGTCATCTGCAATGTCAATCTTGAATGTTAGCAACAGCTAAAGACTGTGGTCATATGTCACATTAGTCTAGTGATGAAGACATTAAGATTATGAATATTGCAATAGTCACAAGTAGATAGGGGAATCCATGCAAGGCCTGTTGTCGATACCTCTTTCAGTTTGTTAAGCGTGTCTGCAGTAGGATTTGCATTTCCACATTCTCTGATGGCCTCCTCTCTTAGCCGTTCCTGCCATTCTGGATACACACTGAGCAAGAACATTGTCCAGGTAAGCAAATGGGATGTGGTCTCATGGCCGGCAAAGAAGAATGTCTTGCACTCGTCTATGATCTCATCCATGCTCAGAGTCAACTCATCTCGTTTCTCTCCTTGTTCCGTTGTGAGGCAAGCCTCAAGCATCAGACCGAGCAGATCGTCTCCGTATCCACTTCCATTGGATGCCAACCGGGGCTGTATGATTGCCATGAGCATCGTCTTAATCTTCCTTTCTAGCATCCACTTCAATCTGTTGTTTTTAGTAGGAAGATACCTGGAAGTAAAGAATTCATTAACCAACCATTAGTAGGATGTGTAGAAAAAGCAAGGTTACTGCTGAACAAGAATAAATATATTGACTTGCTTGAATCCTGGCAGTTGCACATTGAGGAGAGTTGCCATGGCGAGTGCCAGGAGCTGCTTCTGCGTATGGAAAACCTCTTTGCCCTCCTTATAACTGCTTCCAAAACCAGTATGGGATATAACGTCTGCCGTCAAGTCCTGAAACTGTTTGCTGAATTCCACTTCCACTTCTCTGCTTTCGTTCCTGGATGCGAGTCGTTCCCACTCCTTGATCAATGGCTCAGCACAGCTGACCATCGTCGTCGTCATCATCTTCATCGTAGAACCATATATAAATGCATTTTGAGAATGTGTCACGGGTGGGAAATTGCAGGTGAGCTGAAAATCGAGCAGATTATTATCACCTTGAGCTTGTCCATAGCGAAAGCTGGGTTGACCACCCTCCGGTGCCGCACCCAGTCCGTGCCTTCCACCAAAACCAGCCCTTTGCCGAGCATTGCCAGGATAGTGGGGTGTGCATCGGTCTTGAAGAAATGGCCCGACTTGTTGAAAAGAACCTGCCTTACCGACTCGTAATCGAGGAGGCAGATCCGGGGCTGTGCTCCGAACCAGTACAGGAATGGCCCTCCTGCACGAGAGGTTCGAATGGAAAACCTTCAGTTCTGTTCCATGTGGACTGATTGTGCGACGAAAGCGCAAGGGACTAAGGGAGGTAGAGTAAGATATGTTCATCCCTATACATACTAGAGAGTCAATACTTGTATCAAGCCATGGAAACTGTCTCTAGATTTCAGTGGAGAGTTCTTCTATAATTCTGCCTCTTTGGCCAATTTTTCCCTTGTAGGAGTATTTTTTTCGTTTCAGTGTACGTGTTGCACTGCCTGGAGCCAAGTGCAGTTTTCCCTGGGCAACACTAGTAGCAGTACAGAAAAGTAGTGCTAGCTTGAAAGTATAGTGAAAAGTATCTCAAGCAGAGCAGGAACAGCTGAACAGAGCACACACATGAGTACATAACATTAAACATCTGGAGACAGGAGACGCATAGATACTTGATCTAATCAGTGGTCTAATATTCTAGTATATATACTGTATGATTGAAGAACAGACACACATACCGTACTGTTGCTTCCAGGTGAGGAAGTGGGGCATCACCCTGGGGAGGTAGTTGTGGTCGCGGACGTCCAGCCGAAGCGCGTCGGCCTCCGCCCTCATCCTCCTGATGTCGTGGTTGTTGCCCCTGAGGAAGCTGTAGGGCGGCCCGCGGACCCCCTGCGCCCTGAACATGCCGGCCACGGCGCGGGGCCGCCACAGGAGGCGCACCACGGCGTAGTCCCACAGCCACGCCGCCGCCAGCGCCAGGAGCGCCGTCGCCGAGGCCACGAGCAGCACGGCCGCCATGCCCGCAGTCCCGCACACGGTTTGATCGCCTCGCGCAGTGTGGGAAGAAGTCAGGCCTTGGAAAGGGAGGAACCGGAGGCGGAGGGAGAGGTGGTATATGGCGTCAGCTCTGTCCCCGCGCGGGGACGGACTGGCGGTGCCGTGCCGTGTGTGGGCTTGTGACTGTGAGACTGGTCTTGGTAGATTCGGTTTGACCAATTGCAGCTCCTCCGTGCCGTACTGCCGTGCGGTGTCGAAGCGGGAAAAAAAAAAGAACAGCTCCAAGGAGCCAAGGAGCCAAGTTTCAGACAGGACTGGCGATGCAGAAATATCATCGTCATCCTTATCTCTCGGTGATTTTGCGAGTGGACATGGACGCCCGCCAACGCGAATGTGACACATTGAGCCACCCAAATTTGACATCTGCCGCAACCGCAAATCATCGTTGATACCGAGCTCATGAGTGATGACCATGTCCAAGCATGCAACTCCGCCTTCAGTTGACAAAACACCACACGGTTGCCTTTGCCTAGCTATAGGAACAACCAGCCAGCACCATCCAGAAGGAAGGGCCCGTTTGTCACCGCTGATGAGTGATGAGCTATGTTGCACCCAATCAACGCAGGACCTATGGCTCCACCCCAGCCCCCAGCGCACACCTCAGAGCATGTTTTTGGCGGTCCCGCGTGCTGCGGAGCAGCATCACTAAGCAGAGCCTCGTCGAGAGCAACTACACCAGCAGTCCAGCACCGAGGCCAAGCGAACTGAAGCAGTGCTGGTGGAGGACCTCGTGACCAAACTTGTCGACTACTCCGTCCCTAAATAACTGTGGTCGTGGATGTATGTTACCGTAAGTTTGGCTCAATTTATAAAAAATACGTATAACATTTGTATCTCTAATAAAATAAATTTATTAAAAAACTAGATTCAAAGATCTTTCCAATAATACTAATTATGTACTATAAATATTAATATATTTTTAAAATATACTGAGTCAAGGTCGTTTCTCAGAAAACGAAAACGACAAATATTTAGGAACAGAGGAGGTATAAAATTGTCAATCACATCAATCTTTTGGTACAATGTTTGTTTTATCCCGCTTTATCTGAAATTTATAAAATGTTTGCACAATTATTTTCTACGGATGAGCTTGTTAAGAGTAATGCACACTGCTGGAAACTAAAATTTCTCTGTCGGTGTTCCCTTCACCGACAGGAAAATAGGTATTACGCTATCGGTATAACAACTATCGAGACATGGCCCGCTAAGGTTCGTGCTCATGCCGGTCCAGCCCATAGCCCAGCGTTGTGCCTGGGCCTACACCTCGGCACGGCATGCCAGCACGGCATGGCCTGGGGTCGGCCCGTTAAAGCCCACTCTAGAGCAACTCCAACCCTAACTATAACACGTCCTTATCCTTTTCTCGAGAAAATGGCAATTTGGCCATCCTCAAAACTGGACTTCGCTACTTTGCCATCCGACAAATAGGATTAGCTGCTTTGCCATTATGAAATATGGCCAATCACACTAGAATACCCTTTTGGTCCGCTGCCCAGTTTCTGTTCCCGAATTACCCCTGCCCCTTGGATCCCCGTATTCGTGCCTAGGACTATGGAAGAGAGAACGGATCAGCTGCTCCTCCTCCGTCGGGCTGAGCGCACGACACGCTTTTCCTGGGCGTCGCTGCCGCCGCCCAACGCCTGCCCGTAGTCGCTGCTCCTGCACGGGCAACTGCTCGCCGACGCGGGTGGGAGCGCCTACTCGACCATGGCTGGAGCAGCCAGCGGTTGCAGAGCCATGGAGCAGCCGGTGGTTGCAGAGCCATGGAGTTATGACGGCGGCAGCAACGCCTTGGCGTTGGGGTGGCGCCGTCGAGCTCGCATTGGGCGGTGGCAGCGGCTGGTGTTGAGGCGGCGGCGTTGGCCTGGCGTGGTGGCCGGTGTGGTCAGGGCCGTCCCTTGGCACGTGCAACGTGTGCGACGGTACAGGGCCTCCACTTTTCAGGGGCCTCCAAATATATATAGAGTATATATACGTATATATGTATTGCTTGGTAAATAAGAACGTACAGCAGTAGCTTTGGCCTTTGGCCCATTAGCAAAGCGACGTGTACAACAATTGACCAAAGCCCAATAAACAATGGCTTGTTGCCCGGCCGCTGTTCAGTTGGCAATGTTGCCGATCCCAATTCCCCAACTGAATCAGATCGCAAATCTTAGGTCTCACGTACTACCTCTCGACGTCTACAATGACACAACTGAAGCAGAGCGAAGCTTTTCTAAGTTAAAGCTATTGAAGACTTATTTGCGTTCTACAATGACACAAGAAAGACTTAATGATTTGGCTATAATAGCACTTGAAGGTGAACTGTTGGAGAAGATTGATTATGAGCATATTATTGAAGACTTCATTTCAAAGAACACTAAAAGAATGATGTTATTCAAGTAAAGATTATGTAATATATGTATCATTCTTGAATCTTGATATATATTTTATTGCAACATACTGCATGCTTTATAATATCGTATATTTAGTTTTTTTTCTAGGCTAATAGGCCTCATTTCTTAGTATCGTACAGGGCCTCTAATTTTCCCGGGACGGCCCTGGTGTGGTGGGCGTGGCTACCATGGGGGCCAGCGTGGGAGGGGTCGCTCCCGTGGCAGCCGACGTGGGAGAGGACCGGTCGCTTGGGCAGAGACGGCGTAGGGCGGGCGTCGGAGAGCTCTGGGGTGGGCGTCGATGGTGTACGGGCGGCCCTGGCGGAGCCTCGCGCAGTCGCACTTGCGTGAAGGAGCAGCTCCCACTCGGCCCATCCGTTTTCTCTCCGTTCCGTAAGTCACCGGCATTGACATAGGAATTTTAGATCGAAGGGGCAGGGGTAATTCGGGAATAGAAACTAGGCAGTGGACCAAAAGGGCATTCTAGCATGATGACCGCGTTTTATAATGGCAAAGCAATCTCATTTGCGAGATGGCAAGGTTACGAATCTCAGTTTTGAGGATGGCCAAATTGCTATTTTCTCTCCTTTTTTCACGTCACTCATCGCCGCTCCTCCTCTCTCTCCACCTCTTCCTCGCCATTGCCCCTTCTCTCCCCATCTCTCCCTCCCCACCTCTCCTTCCCCGCATCGTCAAGCAGCCGTTCCCTGACGACGATCCACCCCCTCCTCTCTTCGCTCTTTCTCTCCACTCCGTCAAACAGCCGAGCGCCGGTCCCCCACGCCGACATTGATCCACCCTTGGATTCCTCCTCCCTAGTCCCCACTCTATCAAACGCCTAAGCACCGGTCCCCCGGCCCCAAGGCCGCTCCACTCACTCCCAGCTAGGAGCAACAGTGGTAGCTAGGAGCGGCCGAGCCACCGTCCCGCGGGCTGAGGGTGGCGGTGGAAGCTAGGATCAACCAACAACGAGTTCCATCTTAATCTATGGCCCTGTGAATGTGCTTGTGTTCAATCTATGTAAAATCGATTGTATTTGTGAACTTTTTTTTTTTTGCAGTTTTTTTTTTTTTTGCTAGGATGAACTGTTGTTCGGGCTAGAATGGGCTATCGGCACCATGGGCGCACGATACGGCATGGCTAGATAGTTGTAGCTTTCATGCCTGTGTCTTAACGTGTGCTACGATTTGTAAAGAGAAAAATACATGGGCGGTCCTCAAACTTGGCGTGGTGTGTCATCTAGGTCCCTATACTATCAAAGTGCTATTTATGGGTTTATGAACTTGACTCCGGGTTATCATCTAGGTCCAAATGGGTCCTAGCCCGCTCTATATGGCGACGTGGCATTCTTGACATGCCCCTTACATGTGGGACCCACATGTCAGGTTGGCATATATTATTTTTTTTGTTACTTTTTTACCCATTCGTTTCTCTGTTGGTCGCGGACTCGCGGTCCTCTGTTAGTGCCCCGGCCAGCACGGGTGCTTGGCCCGCGAGGATCGCCCCAGATGCTGCCCAGCGCCATGGCTGCTGGTGCTGCTCGTTGCCGCAGCACTCCTCCACCGCCGAGCACGCCACTGGGAGGCACTGAGCCCGCCGAGGCTGCGCCCGCCAGTTGCCGCCGCGACCACGCCCTCGCCCGCCGGTGCCCGCGCCGTTGCCGGTCGGGGCCGTGCTCGCGCCATCGTCGGCCGGGGCCACGCCCGCATTCGGCGCTTCCTGCAGCAGCAGCAGCCGGGCACGTCGGGGCGGTCGCGCCGGCGCCCGAAGCTCGCCGACGTCGCCGCGGGTCGGCCGCGCGCGGGCTCGCCGCTGCGGGATCCGCTGCGCCCCGAGGCGGGCCGCGTGCTGGCTCGCCGCCCCCGCCCAAAGTCGTGCGCGAGCTCGCCGCGTCCTTTGGTCGGCAGCGGGCGGGCTCGCCGCTGGGGGCTCCGCCGCGCGCGTAGCCACATCGTAGACGTCCTCGCCAAGAGACCGCCGCACGGCCGCCAGGAATCCGGCTGTGTCGATGGGAAGTTTGTTGCCGCCGTTGACGATCTTCATCAGGTACGCGACGTGGTAGGCTCCGGTGTGTGTGACCCACGACACCCCTGGCCGGCTTATCAAACGGAGTGCCCTGGTAAGCTTCGCCACGGGGATGCCGCGCAGGCGGAGCTCGTCGCACTTGAGGCCGCGGCCTCTGAGGTACGAGACAGAGCTCAGGGCTTGGGGGTCGACGGCCGGGTCGAAGTCGGATCGGTTAAACTCCCACGTTGCGCTTGAGGGCACCCACGTGTGCCTTCACCGTGGCATACCGCTGCTCCGCGGTGCCGGTGAGCGCAATGAGGTCGTGATGGTCGGCGCCGTGGACAACGCCGGAGTAGTGCACGTCCACCGCGACGCAGCGTGCGTGCGCCGCGAAGTAGCCGATGGCACTGAGCTGGGAGTCGATCGAGGAGGCGCATCGCGCTGGCCTCGAGTATATCCACGCCACGGGCTCCATATGGTCACGCACGGCAACATCAAGTCCTCGAACATCTTCCTGCGACGGGTCCCTCCTTTTAAATGGAGGGCAGCGGCGGATCCAGGAAATATTTTAGGGGGGCTGAACAATACTGTTGTTCGATCTTAAGTCTCAGCCCCTCCTACACTATAGAACTTTGCCTAAAAATTCATAGAGGCTCAAACACACACACGCGCGCGCGAAAGGCCACACAAACACCAGAGGCAGGCAGGCCAGATCTGAATGGGATCCCAGTTTTGTCCGTGCGTGCCTCAGCTCGTCCCTTGCGGACCCCTGGCTCCTCCACACGACGCGCCCAACAGAAGCATCTCCGGTGCCGACGATCTCCTCCTTGGTAGCAGCCAGCGGCGGCAGCAATGGCGGACGACAACACGGTGACTTTCGTCCGCCTCATCCTGGCCATCATCCTCCCACCGCTCGGCGTCTTCCTCAAGCACGGCATCAAGGTTCGTCGACGATCCGCCTGCTTGTCGCTCGACGTACGTCGTCGTGGGAACAGACGAACAAGGGCAGGCATGCATGCATCACGCACGCACGCACGCCGCCGGAGGGAATTGAATTCACGTCGATCGTGCTGATGAATAATTCTCTTTTTTTTGTTATTATTGGTATTGGTATGCATGCCCCGTATGTACGTGCAGTTGGAGTTCTGGATCTGCCTCATCCTGTCCTTGTTCGCCTACCTGCCGGGGATCATCTACGCCGTCTGGGTGATCATCAAGAAGGACGGCTAGGACCTAGCTACTGATCAGCAACGCCACATGACCGGACCACGCCAAGGCATTGAAATACATGTCCGTGCATTAGCAGTAGTAGTCTACACAATTTGGTTATTCTGGCTTGGAAACAACATTTCTTTTCTTTTTCTTTCTTTTCTTTTTATTGTAAGTGTAAGTACAGGGAGGAGGAGAAGGGGTGACTATTGAAGGAGTCCTCTACCGCAGTTTTAGCTAGGCTTGTTTTGAGAGGATGCATGCAGGAAGCTGCTAGTTATTATACATACTTTCTTGTCTTGGCGAGTACAGCACAGTGCAATACAGCCCCTGCTTAAGCTTCAGCTGAAAGCCTGAAACTATATATATATATACTTGGTCGCGGCTCCATATCCACTCATGCATCTCTCCCCAGTCTCCTGCATGCTCTTCCGATCCAGTCGATCGACAAGCTCTTTTCCTTCTCCCGCGGTCCACGACTTATTACATGGACACGCCAAATCATCATCAAATGAATATACTTACTGTGGTGATGTGATGACGCAGCTGGCCTAGCTAAGTGTTCCGGACGCTGACGCGGCGTTGAGTGCAAGCAAAAGCTGACCTGACGGCTCACGCAACGCAACGGGTCAAGCAGTCAGAGAGCCTGCGGTTTCAAGGTTTTTCTTTGTGGATGACTGACGCATCCTCTTCGCCCGTCAGATAGTTTATTAATTTCGTGCGTCGAGTGAAGAAGCTAGCACACTTCGCCCGTGTTTAATTTCAACCCAAAATCCTAAAAAGTGCTACAGCCTATCACATCGAATGTTTACGGTCCGTATATGGAGCATTAAATGTAGATGAAAAAAACTAATTGCACAGTTTGGTGGGAAATTGCGAGACGAACGTTTTGAGCCTAATTAGTCCATGTTTGAATACTAATTGCTAAATAAAAACGAAAATGCTACGGTAGCCCAAAATTCCAATTTCATGAAACTAAACACGGCCTTCATCCATTTGGACAAGAAAGCAACGATTTTGATTTTATTTAACAAGCTAATTAAAAGGAGGGAGCATTCTGGCCGCCAAAACCAGGAATCACCGCGCAAGCATGCAGGGATTTCAGATGTACTTATCACCGTATATATCAGTCAATATACAGATGAACAAGATGACACACCACACCACCAAGCAAATAAATCAGACAATGCAAAGACACACTGTGCCTCAAGTCCCGCGACTCTTAATTTGAGACCCGCCCGGCCAAACATTCGAACACACGCGCGCATACACACACACAGAGAGCCCAGAGGCCATATGCAAATCAACCGGCTAGTGTTTGTGCTGGAAGTCCTCGGTGGCGGGCGAGGGCTGGTACCCAACGCCATGGCGGTTATTCGGGAACACCATGAACACATACCCCGCGACGCCGCCGACGACGGGCGGGAGCACGGCCATCATGGTGCGCTCGCTGAGCTCGAGCGCCGGGTAGAGGCACGCGACGGTGTCGGCGTCGAGGAGCGCGATGGTGGCGAACACGAGCAGCGACAGCGTGGCGTGGACGAAGTCCCCCGCGCGGAGGCGGTACGCCGACAGGTCCCGGGCCGCGGCGTCCGGGTCGGGCGTGAAGGTGCGCAGGCCCCGCGGCGTCACCACGCCGTAGTACACGCGGCCGTCGGACCCCACGTAGCTGTCGGTGAAGGAGGAGAAGGCGCAGAAGGCGCCGCAGAGGGCCACTAGCGCGCCGCTGAGCACCTTGTTGAACGCCGCGCAGTGGCCGTTGTTGGTCACCAGCGGGGAAAGGAACTGGAACAGGAACACCGTGCCGCTTGGGAGCAGCTTGATCAGGTCCGCCACGCCCCGCAGCGCACGGTCCGCCACGCTCACGCTCCGTGGCGCCGCCATATCCTCGCTCTTTGATTTGATCGGACGATCGATCTATCGATGCCTAGCTGCTAGTTGCAGTTGCTGCTTGCTATATGCAGTGGTGAGCTAGTTTGTGGATCGATCTGCTGTGTACTCTTGCTGTGTGTGACAGGCTGTTGCAAACCCAATTGCAATGTGCTCAGCTGTGGGCTTTACTTGGCGAGAGATAGGAGTACGAATCACATGATGCAATGCAACGATTTATAGGGCCCGGTACGTGCTTGCTACTTGGTGGCAGCAGCGCATGCATCGTGTGGACGGGCGAGCGCGCGAGGAATTGGAAGGGTTTGCTTGGAAGGATCGTCCATCTGTTTCCGGCCGGGGGGGAAGAGAGCGTTGCTTGCACTCCTGGGCGACATGGATCGATATCGGTCGGTGGCCTTTCTGCATGCTTTAAGCAGAAGCAGGGATGACATGCATGCCTGGCATAGCTGCTACCACCAGTCTCTATCCAGTCTCTACTTCTACACAATCGAATATACACACGTACAGCTTGCTATCGCTTTTGCTTGGCATATGGCAAGTGAACTGAAGGGGCGTCCGACAGAATAGATTTTGCTTGCTTTGTTTCCAAGATATAAAGATATACTATGTATCTTGGCAACATGGGTTGGACTTAACGCTCTGAGAGCGTTTTTGGCGAATTCAGGTGGGGAGGCCTTTCTCCCCGCCCACAAACACGTATAGTAGTAGTACCTATCATGTCTCTAGATAGCAGCTGCTTGCTTGTGTGGAGGAAACGATTCCTCCTCCTACTGGAATGGACGGTCGAGTGCGTGGCACCGATCACGGTCGGCTTCTCTACCTGTACTTGACTGATGGTCATCACATAAAAAGGTGTTGTTTGTGGCTTAAGATGGCTACTAATCGGGGGGAAATAGCATGACGCCATGTCAAGTTCCCGAATCCCGACCCATTATTCGTGCGGGCTCTTTTGACATGGTGCAACGCTGTTGTTGTTGCAGTGAGGATATGCCTCATACTGCTACGCCGGAGGACACCGGCAGGTTCTACGGCACAAACATCCGGGCAAAGTATGATCAGTAGTCATGCCATCGGCGAGGAGATTATTCCGTTTCCCTTTCCCGGCGGCCGTCCTCCACTCAAAACGAGCGTTAGGAGCCTAGGACTAGGACTCTGGTCTGTTAGGATCTATTGTGTGTACCTCTGTGTGTAACCATGGATTCGGTAAGCCTCCTCGCCTTTCTCTATTGCGACGCAGCAGCAGCGTAGACGCCGGTGCCGCGGCGTAGTAGGCGTCCAGTGTAGAGACAGCTCCGACTCGGTGTAGTCCTCGCGGACGCCGGTGCTCGGCGTGGCCGGTGAGGAGACGATGTGGTGATCCAGTGGTGTTCCCGTGGCCTACAGAGGCGGCGGCGGTCGTCGGTGGGCACATCCCGTCGCTGGCAGCACTCTTTAGGATCGGATTAGGGTTTTTTTTAGGTGGGTGTGGCGGCTCCGGTCAACCTCGTTCTCCGAGCCCTCACTCCCACCTTCCTTTTATGTGTGCTGTGCGACAGGGGCCCACCAACCGGATTAGGGTTGGGCTCCCCCGATCAGGGAGCAGAGATAAGGGCCCAATAGCCCGTTGGGCCTATTGGTGGAGATCAACTAACATTCTTCCCCTTGATCTCATTCCATCTTTCACTTTCATATCATTTGCTTTTGTTCATTCCATTACAGATTAGCTCATAGAGCATGTCTCATCGTCACGGTCCATTGCCGATAGACTTAACAGCTACAACTCACTACTCTGTTCTGAAATAGATACTTATCTTTGCGCCTTCTTTTGTCCAGGAATATTTTAGGCTTTCTCTTAAACCCAAGCTAGCTACATGTTCTCTGAACACCATGTCCTCTGAACATGTTGGGTGGTAAGCCTTTTGTAAGCGGATCCGCGAGCATCCTTTCTGTTCTTATATGCTCAAGACTTATGACTTGATCCCAGACTTTATCTTTCACAACATAATACTCTATGTCAATGTGTTTGGCAGCACCACTTGACCTATGTTGTGAGCATTCTTTACTGCCAGATTATAATCGCAGTATAACTTTAGTGGTCTATAGATGTCGTCAACCACCTTCAAACCGGGTATGAACTTCGTTAGTTAGTTCACCTGTCCGTTGTCTCATAGCACGCTACAAACTGTCATACATTGTGGACGATGTAGTGACAGTTTGCATTGAGCTTTTCCATGAAATAGCTCCGCTTTGCGAGATGATAGAAAATCCACGTCTGGATATGCATTCACTCTCGCACAATCAGAATCTGAATATCCCACCATGTGGAGTGAATCAGATCTTCTATATGTCATCATGAGGCCTTTCGTTTCTTGCAAATAATGCAAGACTTTCTTTACTAATTTCAGTGTTCTATTCTAGAATTCCTCTAGATTCTGCCAAGTAAAACCCAATAACAAATGTCAAGTCAGGGCGTGTACATACTTGAGCATGTTGCAAGCTTTCGACAGCTGAAGCATATGGAACCACTTTCACTTTATCAATTGAGCTCATATTGGTTCCTGGGCCATTGAAAATTCCCATATCTATCGCCCTTGACTATAGGAGCAGGTGAGAGACTACATTTGTGCATACTAAATTTCTTTAAAATCTTTTTCATGTATGCCTTTTGTGACAGTCCTTATACCCTTTTTCTTCTATCTCGATGAATCTCGATCCCTAGAACGAACGAGGCTTCGCCAAGATCTTTCATATCAAATTTCTTTGTCTCTAGTAGTAGACTGACATCACTACTAGCAAGTAAGATATCATCTACATACAGGACAAGGAAGATAAACTTCCCATTCTTAAACTTTGTATTGACACAATTGTCATCTACATTCTCTTTACTTTATATAGACACAATTGTCCTCTACATTCTCTTTAAAACCCAAAATTCTTTATTGTCTGATCAAACTTCAAGTACCACTGTCTTGAAGCTTGTTTTAATCCATAAATGGATTTCTTTAGGCAGCATCCCATTTGTTCTTTTTCTTCCATGACAAAACCTTTCGGTTGTGCCATGTAAACATTTTCCTCCAAGTCTCTGTTGAGAAATGCCGTCTTTACATCCATATGATGTAATTCTTAATCGTAATGTGCCACTAATGCCATTA